AATGCTTTGGGGGGATTCCACACCAAGATGGGATGGGATCTTAAATGATGGAACTGGGTCCTAGAAGATCGGGGAGAAATGGGAATAAAAGCATAGTTCCCCCTCGTCTAAGGGAAGAAAAAGGACATTTTTTAGGGTTAGAACTGGCAGTTTACTGACAGCCAAGCTAGCTCTGTTACCTATGTTATCCTACCCTCTCATCATTTCTCAACATTCCAGACCTGAACAACATAATCTCAGAAGTCTCATTATAATGTCTACTGGGAAATCCTGAATGGCCCAGCATCTGGGTTGACCTTTCTTTCCCAAGGCTGATACTCTCTTTGGCTTTTTGATAGTAGAACGAGGAGCAGGAAGCCACTAGTGCTAACATGCACTGTGATTCTGGGAACAAGGGTATTCCCAATACACAGACACCAATAACTGTCATTTTCAGAATTACTGTAGTGGTGCTGGTGATGAAGGCAGCCCAGAGAAGTTGCCTGCTTATCTAGATGACAGTGAGTTTTCTGGAACTGTGGAGATGGGTCTGGGCCAGGAGGAGATTTTTCCCTGACAGTGCATGTGATTTGCCCACAAAAGCAGAGGACTCTTACAGCCTATCCCTACCCTTGTACTGAGAAGATGCTGCCTTGAGTAGGGCAAGGCTGTGTCTCCAGCTCCACATATCCATCTAATAAATAATCCTTTGTGCTACAAGGCAAAATCCAAGAGAGTCTGTTGTGCTCAAGAAGGAGGAATATCTTTCGTAGACACCCATGAAAATATCCTTTAAAAGTCTAGAGCACTAGGAGAATGAAACCAACTGGTGCCCAAAATGGCCTTTTAATATTCCAGGGAAACAAAGACCTTCAAGTTTCAGGGATTATCATGACTAGACTTTTGAGGGGGGAAAAAGTGTTAGTTGCTCAGTTGTGTCTGACTCTTTGTGACCCCATGAACTGTAGCCCACCAGCCTCCTCTATCCATAAAGATTATTGCTAATATGGCCTCCGTGTCTAGATGACAATGAAGTCTTTTTCATGCAGTAAATAACTAGACTATACAAATAATGTGAGAAATAGTTTTCTAACACATTGAGGTTTGTAATATGACCTGTGTTTAAAATTTTAAATCGAGGTATAAATATGGACAAATTGAAGGCAGGTGACTTTCTGAAAACCAATTGGTTGAGAACAGTTGTTAAAATCAACTTGTTGTTGTGGTTCAGTTGCTAAATCATGTCCGACTCTTTGCAACTCCATGGACTGCAGCACGTCTGGCCCTGCTGCCCCTCACCATCTCCTGAAGTTTGCTCAAGTTCGTGTCCATTGAATCAGTGATGCTATCCAACCATCTCATCTTCTGTCACCCTCTTATTTTGCCTTCAATCTTTTGAAGAGTCAGCTCTTCACATCAGGAGGCCAAAGTATTAGAGATTCAGCTTCAGCATCAGTCCTTCCAATGAATATTCAGTTTGATTTCCCTTAGGACTGACTAATTAAATCTCCTTGCTGTCCAAGTGACTCTCAAGAGTCTTTTCCAGCACCACAATTCGAAAGTACCAATTCTTTGATACTCAGCCTACTTTATGGCTCAAGTCTCACATCCATACATGACTACTGGAAAGACCATAACTTTTACTAGACAGACCTTTGTTGGCAAGCTATTTCTTTGCTTTTTAATACACTATATAGGTTTGCCATAGCCTTTCTTCCAAGAAGCAAGAGTCTTCTGATTTCATGGCTGCAGTCACCATCCATGGTGACTCTAAAGCCCAAGAAGAGAAAATCCATCACTGCTTCCACTCTTACCGCCTCTCTATTTGCCATGAAGTGATGGAACCAGATGCCATGATCTTAGTTTTTTAATATTGAGTTTTAAGCCAGCTTTTATACTTTCCTCCTTCACCCTCATCAAAAGACTATTTAGTTCCTCTTCACTTTCTGCCATTAGAGTGGTATCATCTGCATATCTGAGGTTGTTTATATTTCTCCCAGCAATCTTGATTCTAGCTTGTAACTCATCCAGCCCAGCATTTAAAATTAGGATATTGGTCAAAAATTGATATTTCCAATCATGGTAACTTTTCATTCAGTGATGCTTACCACTTCATTATAAAAATCATTTGTTCACAAATGGGGATAGCACTTATCATGTATTGAGTATTTAGGGTGAATAGTACAATAATGTCTATAATTATTGGAAAATTAAATCAATAAAATGGGCATCCCAGGTGGCTCAGTGGTAAAGAATCCACTTGCTAATGCAGGAGAATCCAGTTCAGTCCCTGGGTCAGGAAAATCTACTGGATGAGGAAATGGCAATGCACTCCAATATTCTTGCCTGGGAAATTCCATGGACCTTGCAGGCTGTAGTTCATAGAGCCACAAAGAGTTGGACATAACTGAGCACTCATGCATGTAAATTAATAGAAATTATCTATAAAATATTTCCAATATCTTTATTTCTTACTCCACTATTAAAACAACATTCTAAACCATAGTGCTATTTCTAAAAATACTTCACAAAAAGAAAAGAAAATCAAGCATTCATTTGTTCATTTTGGAAGTTTAATTTTCTCTATAGAAAATTGTCACAGTTCCTTATGTTATAAAAAGTCAGGAAAAAAAAAGTCAGGAAAATGTAGTTAAATATCACTGGAAATGGACAAAATAGCTTTTTAAATGTTTTTAAAATTTTTAAATTATTGTAGGTTGCTTAAATACTAATTGTATGTGAGCAAGTGGTTAGACACTTTAAATATATACCAATTTATTTTGGGTACTTTATTTAGACAGAGAAATATTTTATAATTTCTGAAAATATTAACCAATTAATTTAAGATAATTTTATGAGATTTGAAAAATAAATAAAAATACTAAAATATAAACTATTATTCATAAACAAGTGTAAGAAAAATGATCCTCTAACCAAATACTTTCTGAAGAAATGACTTGAAATTAACTGTAGCCTCAAAAATTGAAAACAGTCTCATGATATGCAGAAATCACATACTTTTTAAGGCAGTGACTGGAAAGGTTTTTGTTTTCAACTAATTTGTGGTTTTAACCAATCTGTTTTAGTGAAAATCTTTTGGAGAAGTTTTAGTCATAAAGTCTATGTAGGGCTGCTGCTGCTGCTAAATCACTTCAGTCATTTCTGACTCTGTGCCACCCCATAGACGGCAGCCCACCAGGCTCCCCTGTCCCTGGGACTCTCCAGGCAAGAACACTGGAGTGGGTTGCCATTTCCTTCTCCAATTCCTGAAAGTGGAAAGTGAAAGTGAAGTCGCTCAGTCGTGTCCAACTCTTAGCGACCCCATGGACCACAGCCTACCAGGCTCCTCCGTCCACGGGATTTTCCAGGCAAGAGTACTGGTGTGGGTTGCCATTGCCTTCTCCCCTATACAGGGCAGTCACTCATTTTACCAGATATTGATACAAGATCAAGTGATATTCATGTATTTATGATTTCCAAAATGACTAGTGAAATGTAGAAATAAAGACCTTGGAGGTGATGATGGGAGTCTTAATTCCCTTATCTGATATGTTATGCTTCTGGATGTCCCTGTGTCATGTGATTACTTGGTTGTTGGGCAAAGAGGACATCCATGTATGAAGAGATGTTCCTTGAAGAGAGGGTCTTCATCACGATTTCCTGCAGTGGTCCAATCAGGCCTGAATGGGTGATGCGGCGGAAACTCTCTTACATGCTTTATATAAAAGATTTTGATGCTGTGGTCTGTGGATTGTTTCCTGAAGGAGAATAGTAAGTTCAATCACAATAAAGCACTCAGGTGAACAAAATAGGGTCTGTACAAGCTGCAGAACAGATATGGGTGTGTCAAATACTGAGCAGATATGGGTGTGTTAAATACTATCATATTATTTATATTCCAGATTCCCTTGGTAGAGACAGAGGTGTAGGGATGTTGTTGCTCAATTGCTAAGTTTTGTCTGACTCTTTGCCACCCTATAGACTGCAGCATGCCAGACTCCTCTGTCCTCCACTATCTTCTGGAGTTTGCTCAAATTCATGTCCACTGAGTCAGTGATGCTATCTAACCATCTCATCCTTTGGCTCTCCCTTCTCCTTTTGCCTTCAATCTTTCCCAGCACCAAAGTCTTTTCCAGTGAATCAGCTCTTCGCATCAGGTGGCCAAAGTATTGAAGCTTCAGCTTTAGCAACAATCCTTCCAATGAATATTCAGGATGTAAGGATACTTAACTTGAAAAGTATGCGAGACAGAGGCAGAGAGAAAGAGAGTGAGACCTGAGAAATCTTTCTAGATTATTATATTTAGTTCTCTGAGGCTCAATAACACCAAAACTAGGAAAGGACACTTGGGCAAATTCTGAGTCATAAAATACTTGTGGCTGTACATTTCATATTACTAAATTAGAGCCTATTAGAGGTTTTATGACTAGTTCTTGGCAAAAAGATCAGAGAATGTTCTTTCATCTGCCAGTGCTAACTGAAAAGGCAGTAGATTTTTATAAGCAAAGGCAGCGGGCTGAGCATGTAAATTTCCTGAAGGGTGCCTTTGACATTTGCAAGTAAAACTCTGTTAGAAGCCTAGATGTGTCCAGTGAAAAACAATCTGTGAGCTGTGAAATTGCAAAACAATTTTGTGGATCATTTGGTCAAGTCATTTCTTGATCCAGTCTCCATCAGTACTGCTATGATATTTACAAGATTATTCTATTGGGTGTTTTCTTTCTCTTCTTTGGATTGCTGATGAATTAAGGTTTCCATAAAATATAACTTTTGGTGATAGGAATGTAATCATCATGGTTTTTATATTTACTACATTTTCTACTTAAAAAACACTTATGAGTGTAATGAATGCTTAATGTAGCAGTCAAGCAAATACAAGTGAATAATATACTGTCTCCTTTGCCAATCCTCTGCCAAATTTAACAGTATCCTTCCATACCTTTCTTTATGTCTATAAAATATGTTACTTTGTAAAACTGGTGTGACATTCTTCTCACCCCTGTATGCACTCCTTTTTGCAGTGTGGCTTTGTGGCTCCTCTCATCAAGAAGTCAAGTCCATTTCTTCACCCTTGAAGCTGGACTTGGCAGGAGTCAGTTCTCTTGATCACCGGGGCATGGCTGACATGACACTGGGAGAGCAAAGCACAGAAGCATTTGCCTTTGGGGACTTGCTGAGCACCACATGAGTTTTATCACATGTATAGTTATGCATAGAGCTCCTCCAAACTATGAGACAAGAAGAGTACATAGAGAAAGGATTTGTGGGGAAAAAAGACCAAAAAAAAGAAGAAGAAATGGATTTCTGAAGTCTTTGCTTAATGAGGTGGGTGTTTTATCAAGTTGTATGATCTTAGGGAATTTATATGCAGTAAAATCTCTTAAATTTCAATATCTCTGTGTGAATATATGCTTGACTTTTCAAACTGAAGTGTGGTTGATTTACAAAGTTTTGTTAATTTCTGCTGTAGAGCAACATAATTCAGTTATACCCAGATATACATTATTTTCTATATTCTTTTCCATTATGTTTTATCACTAGGTATTGAATATGGTTCCTGTGCTATACAGTAGGACCTTGTTGTTCATTCTATTTGTGATAGTTTGCATCTCCTAATCCCAAATTCCCACTCCATCCCTCCCCTCTCTTGGCAACCCCAAGTCTGTTCTCTGTGTCTATGAGTCTGTTTCTGTTTTGTAGATAACTTCATTTTTGTCATATTTTATATTCCACATAGAAGTGATATCACATGATACTTGGCTTTATCTTTCTGACTTGCTTTACTGAGTATGATCATCTCTAGTTGCATTCATGTTGTTGCAAATAGCATTATTTTATTCTTTTTTATGGCCGAGTAGTATTCCACTATAAACATGTACCAAATCATCTTTATCCATTCCTCTATCAGTCAGTGGACATTTAGGTTATTTCCATGTCTTGGCTATTGTGAATAGTGTTGCTATGAATATAGAGGGGCATGTATCTTTTCAAATTATGGTTTTGTCTGAATAGATGCCCAGGAGTGGGATTGCTAGGTCACATGCAACTCTATTTTTAGTTTTTTGAGGAATGTCCATACTGTTTTCCATAGTGGCTACAGCAGCTTATATTCCCACCAATAGTGTAGGATGGTTCCCTTTTCTCCACACCCTCTCTACCATTTGTTATCTATAGACTTTTTACTTATAGCATTCTGAGTGATGCGAGGTGGTACCTCACTGTAGTTTTGATTTGCATTTCCTTAAGGATTAGCAATTCTGGGCATCTTTTCATATGCCTGTTGGTCATCTGTATGTATACTTTGGAGGAATGTCTAGTTAGTTCTTCTGCCCATTTTTAATTCAGTTTTCTATTTTTTTGCTATTGAGTTGTTTGAGCTGTTTGTATATTTTGGAAATTAAACCCTTGTCAGTCGCATCATTTGCAAAAGTTTTCTCCCATTTCAGTAGGTTGTCTTCATTTTGTTTTCCTTTGCTGTGAAAAATCTTGTATGTCTGATTAGGTCTCATTTATTTTTGCTTTTATTTCTATTGCTTTGGGTGACTGACCTAAGAAAACATTGGTACAGTTTATGTCAGAGAATGTTTGCCTATGCTCTCTTCTATTATGTCTAATGTTTAAGTCTTTTGTGCTTTACCTTTTAAAAATTTGTTATGCTTTTACTTTTAAGAGGGCAAACATATGAGAATACATGACTCTCCTTTATTAAAAAAGATTTTAATCCTTTTAATCTAGCTGAAAAGACAAAGGCATTATAGCTGTCCTCTCTCACATTTCTATACTCTATTCTCAGTTTCAGCCAGTGTATTTTCTCCTCCCAGGTTCCTGATATTCCCATATTTGCTCAGTCTTCCTGTTCTGTAAGGATAATGTAGGAGAGTGTTCCAGTAAGTTAATTTACACTACTGTGATAGGAATTTATAGGATTATCTTTCTGATGTGGGTAACCTGAAGAGAAACTAATCAGAGTTTATTCCAAAAGCTTGAATTGATAATGGTGGAATTTTAGGCTAGAAATATTTGAAAGTTGAAAGTTTACACACAATCTCTTCCATCTCAACCAGCCTATCCCTGGTTAGAATCCCTATCCCATTCTCAGAAATATACCTTCTCAGGAGCAGCTATTTACTGCTTTTCTTTCCCTCAGAATTCAAGGGATATAACCAGAGATAGAATACTTTTCCATCTTATCAGCAGAGGTGATACAAGAGTAGAAAGAATCGTAGTGGGATATTCATGATTAGAATCAGAATATTGATCACCAAATGTAGTCAAAAGATTTTTTTCTCATAAGTGGTAAGAGAGAGAAAAAACCATGTGACTCAGCTAAAACTATGTATACTATATAAATCTCTTCATACACTGAAGCTTCCCTGGTGACTTAGATGGTAAAGAATCTGTCTGCAATGTAGGAGACCCGGGTTCCATCCGTGGGTCGGGAAGATCCCCTAGAGAAGGGAATGGCTACCCACTCCCTTATTCTTGCCTGGAGAATCTCATGGACAGAGGAGCCTGGAGAGCTACAGTCCACGGGGTCTGCAAAGAATTGGACATAACTGAGTGACTAACACTTTCACTGAAGCGTTAAGACTAATCAGGTCATTTTTTAAGATGTATGAAAACTTACAATAGTGTCAACTCCTTTTAATCTGTTCCTATCCTTTCTGGGAACTTATACCATCAACTTTCCTTTTTTCTTTTTCTTCAATTTTTCCTTCTCTACATCTTTTTTCTACTACTATGCTTTTTCTCTCTGATCAGTGCTTTTAGCAACCTCTTTAATAATTCTTTCCTCACCCCCAAGTCATCAATATACATGGAATTAATTTTTATATGTTGTGTGAAATAAGGATCATTTCACAGTTTTCATAGAGATGTTTAATTGCTCCAACATCATTTATTGATAACAATATATTAATACTTTTCCCTACTTGTTATGAATCTAATGTCCGTATAAGCATCTCTTAGTCTTGTAATTTTTCTCTGCCTTGTTAGATTTCTGATACCATCAGGGAGATTTACTTGGGGGTCATCATCAATGTTCTCAAATTAAATAGCTCTTTTTTAAATTTGCTACTTAAAAAAATAGTCCCCAGTCTCTGCTGAAATTTTTGATAGTATCTATTATCTCCCTGAAAATAACAAGCAGAATTATTCTAAAGTTGTGTTTGGCAACCATATTTAGAAGCATTATACGACTATTTCTGTATCTGTTGTTTCTCAACTGTGTTACCTCATCTGCCCCCACATATGATTAATTTTTATTATCTGCTAGACTTTGACAAATTTCCTGTTTGAGGTCTAGGGTAGCGTCGTCATTCTCCAGAGAGGTTTGCATCTGTCAGGTTCCTGAAAAATTTGAAACCTGGCTTCACTGAAATCCAATATCAGGTGTTGATCTGATCTGAATCTGGGTTGGTTGCTCTATAAGGACTGTTCTGCCCCTACTTCACCCTTACTCCTGAGGCATCCCGCCCAATCAGCAAGTTTGTAGGACCCACGCCCTTGGTGAGCCCTCTACAATGGCATTCCTCTAAAATACCAACTTAAAAAACATAAACCTTAATGTGAAAACCCCAAATATAAGATAGACAAAAGCAACAGTGCTCTGGTTGAAACTATACAGTAGGGCCCGGGACATGAAATTACATCTTCTTAGTCTTATTGTGTCTCCCAAGGTGGTTCCCAAAGTACCTCCAATGAATTCACCTCTTTTAAATATCTTTTTAAAAACCATGGAATTTTAGGGGGAAAAGAACGCACTTTGATCTGTTTTTATAAAGCTGGGTGTGGTTGGCTCAAGAAAAGGCCTAAGCCATGCATACAAGTCCCTTACATCTAATTGGTTTTATTTACATCTGTAGTCACAGGCTGCACCCTTAAACTCAAGCTTTTATAAATAAAATTTGAGCCAAAATTAACAATATATACTGAAGGTGCTGTTGGCTCGATACAAACCAGAAGTAGTCAAATGACTCTAAACCTCATGTCCTATATTGATGGACAGAATATTTCAGTTTTTATTTATTCATTTATGAAATATTTTTGAAGTACTTACAATGTTCTAGGCTTTGAAGATATCATGATAAAAAAAAGAAAAGTGTACAATGTGTTTCTGACTTTCTAGCCTTCTACTTAATTATGTATGAAGGCTTTTTTTTTTTTGGTATTATGCTTTAATGTTATGTGCAAACACCAGTCTCTCAGTAAGTCTATATTTTTATCTCTTCAGTAACACCTACACTTAAATTTCCCCTTTTTCCACTTTTTAAAAATCCAGATTCTTTATTTATTCACCTATCTTATCAATGATACCACTTCCTTTGAAACCCCCTTGGACAGAAGCACTATCATAGCATCTAGAATCTCGGACAGATTCTATCATAGTGTCTTGGGTCTGGGAGACTATGTCTGCTTTCTTTGCTCACTCACAAATTCCTCTTGACTGTGCCCTTAGTTCAAAAGCTTTTACTCCACTGAAAGGCAAGCTGTCTAATTGTACCACTCTTTTTGCCATAAAATGCATGCAACAGCAATTTCATGAACCATGTAATTTAAGTAATATATTATGACTTGCAACTGAGTTCTCCCCCTTTATCACTTGTTATTGGCCCAACTGAAGGTTGGGCTTTCCCTGGGGCTCAGCGGTAAAGAATCCGCCTGCAATACATGAGACATGGAGACACGGGTTTGATCCTTGGGTGGAGAATATCTCCTGGAGAAGGGAATGGCTACCCTCTTCTGCATTCTTGCCTGGAGAAATCCATGGATATGAAGAGCCTGGCAGGCTATAGTCCATGGGGTCTCAAAGAGTTGGACACAACTGAGCAACTACACTCACTATAGTTGATTAATAATATTGTGTTAACTTCAGGTGTGCAGCAAAGTGATTCAGTTATACACATATCTCCTCTTTTTCTAATTCTTTCTCCATTTAAATTATTATAGAATATTGAACAGAGTTTCCTGTGCTATACAGTAGGTTTTTGTTGGATATATATTTTAAATATAGCAGAGTGTACCATGTCAATCCCCAAATCCCAATCTATTCCCTGTACTCCCCCCTGACCACCGGGTGTGAGTCTGTTTTGTAAATAAGTTCATTTGTATCATTTTAGTTCCTTTATTCTTTCCCAGCAGCTTCTGTTCCTATTCCCGTTAGAGACTACCCGGAAGTTTTCACTCTAC